GCGAGGACTGTACATGTGGGGCGCCTGCTCGACCCACTGCGCCACTCGACGCCCCATCTGTCATCTGTCTTTTGAGCAGCAAAAAACTGCAAAGAACTAGCCAACTTGTAAAGTATCAAAACAATATAAAGCAGGTTTTCTCTCTCTAATAAAGTAGAATATGATTGTATGAATATATGTCTCCATAAAGTGGAAGCCATATATAGTGATCACGTCTGTCCGCATCAAATTGATCATCAAGAACTGAACTACCACTTTTATTAGCAGGCTTAGATGTTTTTGTGTGGTGAAAAGCAGACTGTTTAACTTTTACGGTCATGGGAATGTTTTGGCTTTCAGCAGGTGAGCATATATTGAATTTTACAGAAGAGTCATTGTGGAAACCTGCAAGGAAAAATATTTACTAATACAGCGTTGACAAAAGAGAGGCAGAGGAGAGAGAGAGGCATTGAGAGACGTACTCTACCTCATCTTCAGAGTTTCAGAGACAAAGTGAAGTCTGAGCTCCAGTATATATAGGACTCTCTTCCTGGTTGCAGGTGTGATGGGAATGGAGAGATGGGGGAGGACGAGTGAAGCAGTGTGGAGATACAAGATAGAGGAGAGGAGGATGTGTGCCCTCAGTCAATTGAAAAGCTGTCAGGGCGCAGGTGCATACAAGCTACAAGCCAGAGATAAGAGGCAACTCTATCTCTCTAGCTGTTTTCCTCTTCACCTCTCTTGCCCTCTTTCTCCCTTGTTATCATCTCTCTTTTTCTCTTTAATTCACCATCACTCCAGTATTAATCAAGCTAGTAACGGTGAAGCAGTCTGTTCAGGGATTCCGACCCTCTAACATGTCAAATGACATTTTCCTTCTCGCAGTCTCTCACTATCGTAAACATTTTTGCTTATTTGTCTTCTTGACTTACAAGAGAAGATCAAAACCGTTTAACGTCTGTACATTAAATTCAATGTGGGAGCCAGTAGCAGTAAAGAAATATCTACCTAGGATACATCATGTTGATTGACGACCTTCAGAGGTGCGGGGAGGTGACTTTTTATTTTAAGTTTTAAATATCCCAGGGTTGTCTTCCGCCCCCCTCCTTCCAGTCTTTATGCTAAGCTAGGCTAATGTCTTGCTAACTGTGTTTAACACAGACATTAGAGTGCTATAGATCTTCTCTGTTGAATCTTCAAATCAGATCTATGTCATACGGGCACAGAAAGCCATAAACACCACACTTGTTGTCACACAATGAATCGACAAGAGTTGTGAGGGGAAGAAGAAAAGGAGGGTGTAAAACAGATGATGATTGATGGTGTAAACTCAAGTCGTTTAGTGCAAGGCAAATCCACTGAGCACCATGCAGAGAGTTAATGATAAAGTGATGGCTCTCTCTTTCCACTCTTTTTCATTGCAATCAGGTTTTAGATGCACCCATGAGGTTGAGATATTTTTATGTTTTGTTTCATGTTTTGATATTCACTCACATGAAATATATTGAATAAAGGATTTATTACCTTGGTAATAAGAGAGAGAGAGAGAGCATTATATTCATCTGTATTTTGTGTTATTGGAAGGACAAACTTCAGCTTGAACCTCACTGCTGAAGGAATGCTCAAAGTAACAGAGCTACAGGATTAATCTTAGCGGAGAAAATGTGGTTTGATTGGGGATAAAAATTGGAGTTAATTTGATAAATCTGACTTCAGTTACCAACAAATAAAAAAAAAAGAAGTACTCTTAACAGGTCAATCTGAAACTAGCAAATCTAGTTAACCGAATAAATGCATAATATTGCTCTTTTCAGTTTTTTGCTGTGAACTTAGAGAATAAAGTCGAGGTTTTGTCACAGTGCATATCAAGCTAGTTAGGATAAGTTAGTAAACCGGTTTAGATTATGCGTCACACACATGAAAAAAACAACCTTTGAAATTTGAGTTAATAAATTCCCCTGTGACTTTACCACTGTATAGGAAAGTAGCTTTCACAATAATACAGTTAGTCAGTTATTTGGCTGCCACTTGGGGAGCCGGCTCAATTGCGATTAAGGAAGTTTTTTCCAGCCCTGCAGGGTTAGTTTTAATGTTTAAACAGTCTTGACATTGAAAGATGTAGTTGTTCGAAGTTGACATTTCCCACACACACTCAAACATTGTAAACACTTTATTGTCACAACAAACCGAAACATGCAACATATGCCTCACGTGTTGGCTCACCAACAAGATGCTGCAGAGTTTCACTGTTTAACTCGTGTTGCAGTCACCTCAAGTCAGTCACTATATTGGATTCTCTTAATTTTTCCTCCTCGGGCGCCGCTTCCTATGAGGCGTTAACAAGATTTTCTAATTACTTGCCTGAAACAGTAGAGATACCAATACTTTGTAGTTGGCAGGATAGAAATAAAATGGCACAAAGGACAAACAATACTTCACATGTACAGCCAAAGCCATTAAGGAAAACAGAAAAAACATCACTCTTAACTCCAAGAGAAGCATTGTTTAGAGGCGATAAAAGCATCTTCCTTATCAGTCTCGGAGCTTTGCCAGTAGCTTTTGTAGTTGCTGGTGTTTTTGTTTTTTTGTTTTTTTGTTTTTTTGTGTATGTGTGTTTTGTGTCTTTCTCGTTTTCCAGTTTCTCCCCTCTTTCATTTTTCTCTCCCTCTCTCTCTCTCTCTCTCTCTCTCTCGCTCTGCCTCGGTAAGCTGGTCTGCATGGTCCAGAAGTCTGAAGCCTCTGTGTTCCGTCCGCCTTCGCCGCCGGAGATTAAAAATAATGGGCTGCACCATTAATTAAGCAACTAATCTTACTGTTTATGTTTTGTCATATTTACTGCTCACAGATGCGTAGAGAACTCCCCCAAAAAATGACTGCTCCCACACACACGTTAAATTGCTTTTGCGTCGCACACACATTAACAACAACAAGCCGACACGCGGCTCGACAAGCTGTCGGAGAGGCTGCTTTACTTTATTCCAGTTAAAAAAACCAATGCCTCCTACTCCTCTCTTTCGATTTTTATTTATTTATTTTTGCGAGCAGCAAAGTTAATATTGTTGATTTAAGACCTCACCTTCAATTTGGTGTAGCATGTAGACAGAGCTTTAGCTTTCGCCGTGGCTGAACCAATTTTCTGCTTCAAGCGCCTTTTAATAAACGCAGCACTATCAGGAGGCTCCGGCTTCCCTGATGAAGGCCATTTATTTCAAATTAAAGGAGAGTTCCTTATCTTCGGCCGCCTCAAACGGACAGAGAGATAAAGATGGCGCGCTCTGGTGTCGTCCCCTCTATGTTGTTAACGTAACGAGAGAAACGGAAGGAGCAAGTGAGGGAGAAGTGAGACAGGAGACAAAAAAAAGTGGAAGAAGACAGATTAAACAGGAAAGATAAACCATTAGAGGTGGTGTGTTGGGGGGGAGGTAATCTGATAGGCTGTCTGTCCTCTTTTTAAAATGGGCTTGTGAGAGAACACCAGTGGATGTTTCGTTCCTCCTCTTTCATCTTTTCATCTCACTTCCTTCCTTTATACGTTTTTCCTCTCTGTGTCTTTTCCTTTTCCCATTTAACCTCCATCACCCTTTCTCAGATAAACTCTGTCTTTGCCTCCATGATATTGTTGCTGATGATGAAGTGTGTTTGCCTGTGTGGGTATTGGTATGCTGTAATTGAAATGCTGGGGTCAGCTCTCCTCTGTAAATCAAAGCCAAAAAGAGCCTTTAATTTGGCTTTCAATTAAATCTGGTGTTAAATGCTCCTCACAGAGCAGGTGTGTATGCTGGGGCACAGTGTGGGGGAGACGATGATGTTTCAGAGGTGTGTGTATGTGTGTGTGTGTATGTGTGTGTGTGTGTGTATGTGGGTGTGTGTGTGCGTGTGCGTGTGTGAGTGTGGGGAACATGTTCATTGTGTTTTCATGTTTACGGTGTACTACAAAGTGTGTGTGTGTGTGTGCGTGTGCGTGTGTGAGTGTGGGGAACATGTTCATTGTGTTTTCATGTTTACGGTGTACTACAAAGTGTGTGTGTGTGCGTGTGCGTGTGTGTGTGTGGGGAACATGTTCATTGTGTTTTCATGTTTACAGTGTACTACAAAGTGTGTGTGTGTGTGCGTGTGCGTGTTTGTGCATGTACCTTTTTATACCTGCGTGGGTGTACATAACTTGCTTGTCTCTGCTTCAATCAGTCAGAATCCATTACAGTGAGGCACCCAGGCAGCCAGCCTGTCATAGTTAACAATCACACAGATAGACAGGCAAAGACCAATTATAATACAACCCACATATCAAATTAAGCATGGCTAATTCAGTCTCTCAAAGCACACTTTTCTGCTGTATTTGATCAGAATGATCCTACCCACTCAATTAGATGTGATTTAGCGGTAATTGCATGATTTGCAATGAAGCACGTACTATGCACACCATAGGTTTTTAAACAGGCTGCAGTGGGTGTAAATGTTAATTGTTTTTCAACTTTGTCTTGCCTCATTTAATCAGACCTCTTTTTTCTTTTTTTTCCTTTCCTACACTTTGGTATGTTTCGTTAGTTTTCGTCAACAAAAAGCGTTGTCTCATTTTTGTTTTCTTTGCATTTTTTATTCATTTTTATGTCTTTTTTTATGTCGCCATCTTTGTTGTATACAGTTACCATGGTTACATGTGTCATCTTTGCAAGAAAATGCACAGTTTATCTGTTCACACACACGGAGCTCATGTCACTATAACAGAGTGACGCTCTTCAGTAAATCCAGTTATCATTTCCAGACTCCGACTGTCTGAGCAGAACTGCTCTCTCTGTCGTTCTACTCACCGAGCATCACCTCTGCTCTGTGTTCTCCACTGTGTTCTCCACTCCACCAGTATACATGCTGGTGCACGTCAGTTGTTTTTAAGTGACCCTACTTTTTTTTCAGTTCACATTATTGTTCTGAAAGGGGGGAAAATGCACGTTACTATTTTCTTTCCCTCCATTCCTAAACCCATCTTTCTGTATCTCTGTCTGTTTCTTTTTGTTTTTTTGCAGTGCTCGTAATACAGACCCCGTGTGTGCTGGCCTGCAGTCTCAGATTTTATCCTGCTACAGGGAGAACGGAGACCAGACCCTCAGGTGTTCAGACCTCGCCAAAGCTTACATGCAGTGCATCAATGCCGCAAAGAAGGTAAGAGTTTTTTCACATCCAGATTTGGAATATCAGAGAAGCGCCAAAGGTTGAATATATCTGGAGCAAAAGTATTTAAATATAATTATAATGTCAGCAGTCCCATTAAATTGAAAAAATTAAGTCGTAGATCATAACTTCATTATGAGGAACAGTCTCTGCAGCCGTGTCACTAGCAACCTTCTAAAGAAGAGAGCATCTTTAGTCACCTGTAAAGCGATGGATGTGTTGGAGGAAAAGCAGTAATTGCAAAACAAAACATCACACAGGAATTCATGAAAAAACAGTAAATAGAGTAAATAGAAAATGATTAATACTATAAAAATATAAAACAATTACATGTAACACTGAACAGTGTAATATAGACAGAATTATATCCTAATGGAAATAAATAAAGGTTAAAAATAAAGTCAGTGCACATACAAGTCAATTACGTGAACAGTGACATCTTTTACCATCAATAAACATACAGTATATTCTCATAAAGATCGTGATGTCAGTAAATGTCAAAATATGCTGCTGCACTGGCACCAGACACATTTAAAGCTTATTAGGTTAAAAGACTAATAGTAAATGACAATAATAAAATCTTTTTTTCTTATTTCTTGTTTTAGTTTTAATCTGAATGGAAGTGTATTGGGAACTGTGATTTCTCACTGTTGTATACTAGTGGTTGTGACCAAATGATTAGGGATATTTGTCTATGTTGATGTGGGAATCTCACCTGTGATGCCTTATTACCTCATCCACCTGCCCCTTCCCAGTCTTGGCTTGTTCGTCCCTCAGTCTCATTCTTGTGAACACGATACATCAATAATGGCTTGAAGGAGTTTTTTTCAAATTTTGGCACGAACATTAGATTTGGTGGTCAGAGGTCAAAGGTCAAAGGTTAAGGTCACTGTGTTTTTGGCCATAAATTCATACGCTAACAATTTAACACAAACATCTAATACGATAAAATGATGGAGTGATGACCTTTTATATCCAAATGGTCAAAGGTCAGCCTCACTGTGACATCACCATGTTCTGCTCTGGCTGTTATTCTGTGCTGTAACTCGAGAAGGGGAGATTGTGACCATATATTCTTGCAACTTGGCTGGTTGGAGGAGGCATTGAACCGTCAGGCGGTGATATCAGAGACTCATGCAGACCGGTTGTCATTTGCTGTGTGAAATGCCTGATTAAGATCCCTGAAACATTGCAGTTTAATGACTTCACCGTAAGTGTTGACAGTGTGCAGGAGCAGCGACTTCCTACCAAAAGTAATAAAAATGTTGAAAATAATAATATCATATTGGACTTCCCCTCAAAGAAGCAATGATTCAGGGAAGTTTGGGACATAACAATCCAGTCTGAGTGGTGGCTTTTGAAGTTCTCTAAGGAGAGACATGTTTTTATTTTCACAGCAGCACTCTGTCTGATGTAAAAGAAAGAAATTCATTTTTTTTTCTCATGTTCACAAGATTATTCTGGGGGAGTTGGAAGAAAGAAAAAAAAAACATCTGATTGATAGGGTTTTGAGTGCTGTCACTTTAGGTTTTTACACAGGAAAAAAAGCCTTGTCATTAAAAACAGCTTTCAGACTGAATGTCTGATGCAAAAGTGCGTAATCCAATTTCTCCAGCGCTACCAAACTTCTTTTCCTCCCAAGACTGAAAATGACACCTTTTCAAGGCAAACACAGTTTTTGGTTGCTAATAAAATAAGTCTTCAGTCACAGTTCAAGTCGTCACTGCAACTCTTCGCTCAAGATCACTTCAAGTAAGTGAAGAAAAGCAGGTTGTTATCAGAAAACAAGCTGTAAAACCAAACCTTAATTACAAGAAAGAAAGGAGAATGAGTGGCTCGTCCAGTCAGATGCAGCAGGAACGTCTGCAGTTTCATCATTAGGATTCAAGGATGGTGTGAGATCAAAATGCTTGCACTGCAGACTGTGTTTGACTGTAAATAGGATTATGTAATATTAGGCCTTGTTTAGAAGCTTTTTATGTTCATTTGCATAATGTTTTTGCAGTAAGTTTGAAACCTTGATCCTTGAACCCAGTCCCTCATCACATCGAAAGGAGGACTCACTGTGTTTTTGTATTTTAGCTGTGAAGAGAATCTATAGTGTCACAGAGCTGTTTATCTTGTTAAATAAACACAATCCTGTGATTTGAGACCGGAAATTTTAAGCCGAAACCGAATTACACAGTGGCAAATATGTAGCACCAACATTTACCAAAGCCAGTAAAAGGTTAACTTGCTGATTGGAGGTTTATAAAAACAAAATCCTTGATACAGTGGAAACAGCTTGTAGTGATCACAGTTACAGAATCAACAGCTTAGATCAAAAAGCTCAGGACATAATCATTCCTGTACCAATGCTTTTTAAATAATTTGCTTATGGTAATCAAGTATTTGCTTGCAGTGTTCATTTTGGGTCGTGTACATTGGTCGTCACTGCTGCGGCTCACTGACTTATTTTACCTTCTGGTTCCCGCTTTGCTCATGTTTTGGGACTTTCACAGCGCGTCATTATCGGCCCTGCTCTCTCACCGCAGCAGTGTTGCATATGTTATAGGTGAGTGGCTAGGCTTGGAGAAGGAGAGGGCCACGGTGTAGTTTGTTATTTTATCTTTAAATCAGTTTGAATAAAAAAAAAAATGTCGATTAGATGCTCGTCTCCATGAGCAATAAAGAAAAAGAAAGAAATTTGGTCACGACAAACGTCCATTTACAGTAACGAGTCCTCTGTATTTCTTTTTACACTCCATTTGAATTATTTAACAGACAGCATGGTTTGTTTATCTGCTCATTTATATGTTCGACTTGTCTGATGTTTTTTTTTTTTTACAGTGTGTCAGTTTCAGCAGTTTCGGTTACAAACTGTAACACATTCATTTTTAGTGATTACGGTTTCATGCACTTCTCTATGGAGACTTAGATTTAGTTAATATCATTTTGCCTTCATCTTTGGGGTTATCTTTGTCATCGAGCAGTCAACTGAGGTTATAAACTATGCACCTACTGAGTCAAGACATCTTGCCTTTTTCTCTACGCCACTTCCTTGTATTTCATCTGCAATAAAGACCAGACAGGAACCTCTACTTATGCATGCACTCAGTAAAATCCAGCCTTTGTACTGTACTTTCCAGCATTCCACGTTCCTCAGTTGAACGTGCTGCTGTATTATTCAAAAGCAAAAGCCAAGTTCCTCAAGTATGTGCATCTCTGCAGCAGTTTTAAGTTACAAATTCACAAAAAGTTAGAGAGAAAATTGCGAGGAGGAGGAAGAGGAGGGGGAGAGCAAGTTGGAGGACAGAATACTGGAAGCTTGCACTTCCAAAGTTTGTACAGTACAGGCATTTGAAGGTGTAGCTGCTCATCATGTACCCAAACAACGTATTACTCTGCCTCATGCTGGTCTCTGCTCACATCTCCGCTGCGTTGCTCAGGGGCACTGAGGCTTCCCCTGGCATACAGTAATACAGCATGTGATAATCAGCCTGCTGAAACGTGATTCCTCCGCTCTTGTACTAATGTAATGTGTGCGTGGCTGCCTGTACGTGTGCGCACTGTCAATGGCGTCTGAACCTTTGTTATCTGCCTTGTATTACACCATCCACACACAAACGCACATTCATATGCACACAGTTGACAGTATGTTTATGGTCTTGTATTTCTGCACTTATGAGAACCAAATGTCCTTACAAGGCTAAGCAGAGAGAGAGAGAGTGTGTGTGTGTGTGTGTGTGTGTGTGTGTGTGGTGTGTGTGTGTGTGTGTGTGTATGCGTGCGCGAAAATCTCTTTCTCATATTAGCTGGTGTGAGATAACGAGGAGTGAAGTGAAGACTCTTTGAAGACCGTCTTTAAAAGAGCACAGCAGATCATGCACTGTGTGTGTGTGTGTGTGTGTGTGTGTGTGTGTGTGTGTGCGCATGCATGCGTGTGTGCGCGCGCATGTGTGTGTTTGTGTGTGTGTGAGTGGTGCGTGAATAGCTTGCTACATTGCAGTCTGCTTTAACCTACACATCAAGGTCTTTCCTCTTGATTGGCCCCCGAGGCATCTCCCTGACTTTCACCCCATCAATTTGAAAGTTTATAAAGTTCTTCCTCCATTTTCTGTCTTTAAAAGCTGTCACAGTTAGTTTGGTTATTACTGATAACTTTTTTTTCCTGTTGAGTGGAAGCTGCAAAAGCTGTGAAATAGCAGTTAACAAGTGCGAGATGCTGCGTTTTGTTTGGAATAAAAAACATTGCCACCCATCATGTTGAACTTTTAAAGACAGAATAACAACCTTTATAGACAGAACTAGTATTAGGTGGTCAATACTAATTACTACAATAGCACTATGTCTGTGTTTTCTCTACCCATTCTTTCCATCAAACTTATTTTTAATGGAATTGTCTCAATCAGAGGATTTTCTGTCTATGTTGGCCTCAATGTCCATCCATTGATTGAAGTATTATTATATATATGTACATAAATATCAATAATTGTGGTTTTCTAAATATGCTAGCATTGATAAACTACCTGTTACCAAGTCACAACAACAGCCCCCTGAAGGACACTGTCGGCAGCTCAGTTTCCACTTGAACAGACTGACTGCTTAAGAGGTTAAGGTAATAAATGAGAAATAATGATGTGATATACTTAGCTAAAGATTTAAGTGGAGATTTTCCTCATTGCTAACAAGTTAGTGTGGCCTCCCGAAGCGGCTGAAAAATGAAGCCAACATGGAAGTGCCAAAAGCTGCAGTTCCTCGAATGGCCACTTGAGTCTGGCTCCAAAAAATGAGTCAAGCCAAGCCAAGATGGCGACAGTGGAGCAGCTCACTCCGAGCTTCAAAACTGTTCTTCAGAAACCTGTGGGTGGCATAATGGAGGCTACGTCAGTCTTTATTTACAGTCTCTGGGTCCCCCCACAGCAAGCAAGCTGTTAGCATAGCAAGTGCTTTCTTTACTCTAGAAACCCGTCTGAAAGTTTCATTTTGTTGTTTTATTTTTGTCACAGAAT